CTGTTTACCAACATCTCAATCAGAAGAAGAAAATCAAGGAGAAAAAGGGCAACAAAATAGACTGCTTTTTGCTGTTAAGTTCAGTAATTTTTTTCTGGCAGAAATTAAAATTAACAGAAATATGTAGTGACATCATTACCTCTGAATTAAAATTGTCCTAGTTATTTAAGTTTTGTAGGACTGTTTCCAGGTCAGTCAAGGAAGAACTCTGTTCTTGAAGCCCATGATGAATAGAGTGAAAAAAAAAAAAAAGTTAAAAACATCTAATTGTAGTGAAGGCTTAGATACCAAGGGTCTGTGTGGAGAGCTACTGGAATATTTGGCTGTATGTTTATATGACATCCCTATGTATTTGAGAACCGGAAAAAACTGGAGACAATAGAATATCATACACGATAAGAAGGGAATTCCAGCAACATTACTATACTTGTCTTTCTTATATTTTAGCCATAAAATTCTCTTCATGTTAAATCCAAATGAAAGTATGTCATAGGCTAGTAAAATGGAGTCAAAAACCAACATTTTTACTCCTGAAACAGTGATGCCATCCACTCTGCAGCCTCCCTGGAGTGGCAGTATTCAGACAACTGCTGTTTCTACAGGATAGGCTACCTCATCCTTTGTTTTATTCATATTTTTATAGACCTAAATGTGTCATTGAATGTCATTAATTTAGAAGAAACATAGGAGAGTATGTGGCAGTATTTAGGAATGAGGTAAGCAACATTGAGAATGCTGTCCATCATTTTCAGAGAAGCATAGAATTTGAAAGCTGTCACAGAAATTTGAGAGTTATTTAGAATAGCCTCGTCATTTTACAGATGAATGCCCACAGGGGTTAAGTCACCTGACCTTGGTTGATTAGTTGGTTCATTGGTTGGCTAATGAATGGCAGAGAAAGGATGCTGGTTTTGAAAAACTCTATGATTGCAAACTGTTTTTAAACTTTTTAGTAGAGATTATTTAATTTGGTGCACGCACTCAACTAATACAAATAGTTAAGTATAATTTATAAGAACTTAATGTGGGTACAGAGTATCTGGATTTGAACATAGTTTGACCATTACTAGATGCATAATTTGGGGCAAGTTATATAAACTTTTGTGCCTCAATTTTTTAATCTGTAAAATGAGTATGATACTAATAACTTCATAGGGTTACTGTGAAAATTCAATTAAATAGTGAATGGATAGCCCTGGGAACAATGTCTAGCACTCAGAAATTGTTGTTCTTGTTATTTTTGTAAAGTGTATTCCCAAATGTTTATCATTTCATTTTATTATTCTAAATTAAAAATTACTTGTTCTCCCTCTCCCAGGACGGAGTTACAATGATTTAAATCAGTATCCAGTGTTTCCCTGGGTCATTACTAATTATGAATCAGAAGAACTGGACCTTACTTTGCCAAGTAACTTCAGAGATTTGTCCAAGGTAATTTCTTAGTACTCATCAGAAATACTATCTTGCATATAAAAATAAATTTGATTATCTTTCTTCTACTTCATTTAAAAATATTTTAGTATAATTATAACTTTAATATACTTTTTAAAAATTATTCTCACATTTAAAACTGAAACATTTAATATGCATGGTAAACTCAATAGTTACATTTTTTTCTCCATGTACATTTAATAGTACAGTATCTACCTCTGTTAAGGGTGTTAGCACTTGGTAAAAGATATGAAGAAAATCATGGAAACGTCTCACCGTACTCCTCTGAAAAGACAAGTCACCCCTCACTGCTCCATGTCTCCTAACCCTCCACCTCTTGCCCTTCTCTGATCCATTCCTCACTAGAACAAGATGGACCCCCTTTAAACCTACTTTTGAATTGTATAAATTCGGTGCTTAGACACCTCTTGACTTACGAATGCAGAACGCACCCTGCCCAACTCAGAGCTTTGCCTTCTCTGTCGTTAATGTTCGTCTCCCTACCTTGTGAGTCCTTTAGGAACACTTCCTCGTGAAGACCGTTCCTGACCACCTTCCTTCCCTGATATTCTGCTCTCTGTTTCTTTCAGAGCACCTAAAATATCCTGCATTTTACATATTTTTCTACCTGCTTGTTTTGGTTCTTCCTATTTCCTCACTAAGCCCCATAAAGTTCTTGGTCACCATTATTTCTCCCTTGCCTAGCACAGGGCCTACCATTCAATTAATGTGTGAAATGAAGTCATTAACAAAACATACAAGACATTTCCCTCAAGTTCTAATAAATTAATTTTAAGTATGTTGCATTTTTAAATGTAAAACGTGTAAATAACAAAATGAAAATTGGCCCTAATTTATCACATATCAATAAGGAATAATTACATTATGTATACATATACACATACATACTGATTTTTATGTAAGTATTTTCTTATATCTTCAGGTATTCTTGAAGAACTTCCCTTTTCTGTCCTGGATTATCAATAAATAGAATATCCTGAATCATCATTTTGTGATAAAAAATAGGGTTATATATCTCTTTTTTTCTTTTTAGCTTTTTATTATGGAGAATTTCAAGCGTATACAGAAGTAGACAAAATGGCATAATAATATATTTTCATTCTCATGTACTAATCACTCTATTCCAATAATTATCAACTCATAGTTATTCTTATTTTATCTTTACTCTCATTTTCTTTCCCTCTCTCTCTTATTACTTTGAAATAAGTCCCAGACATCATATCATTCCATTCATTAATATTTCAATGTGTACTTCTGAAAACTCTATTTAAAGCACAACCATAAACCATTAGCAAACTTAAAATATTAACAATAATTTCTTATATCAAATACCCAGTCGGTGTCACATTTCCAATTGAATTACAACTTTTATAATTCTATTTAGTTTGTTTATTCCAGTCAGGATCCAGAGAAGAACCACACATTGCAATCAACTGATACATCTCTTAAGTCTCTTTTTAAGTAGGTTTCTCTTTTGTTTTTAATTTTTTCTGATATTTTAGCTGAAGAAACACACTGTCTTGTATATTTTCTCACACGGTGGGTTTCACTTATTACCTCTTTGTGGTATAAACAAGTCTTCTATATTTCTTATAAATTGGTAGGTGGTTCCAGAGGTTCAGAGAATTCACATTAGGTATTTTTGGCAAGACTGCCTCTTAGGCAGTTTTTTGAATTCTTCTGTCAAAGGACACGTAAACCTAGTTTACTTTTCTTTTGTCATGTTAACAGCCATTGATACGGAATGCCTGGACTCATCAGTTTAGTAAGCATCGCAAAATCATGATATTTAAATTTTGTCACTTTTATTTCATTTATTATTGGGAATCATTCTCTAAGGAGACACTTCCATTCATCTGCTGTTAAGTTTTTCAATAGTACCTCAGATTGGAAAGGCAGGATAAATGATTCTTTTTATATGCCAGCTTTTAAAACAATGAATTGGTTCCTAGCACTCTCCAATGGAACCTAATTTAAAAATATATATCTTTATGAACTCATAGACTACAGTATTTTTGATGTTTCATTCTGCTGCAGTTAATATTTTTATTAATGATCACTTGTTCCTTGGGGAACCCTTGACCATGGGGAGCTTCTTCAAGTTACTCCTGAGTCATTTTGATGTAATCTTACTAGTCTCTGAAAACTTCCATGCTCTCTGGTGTAACAAGGTGCTCCTGTCTTGACCCTCACATTTTCTGGTCTAGTTCTAGAATCATTTATTTCTTTAGGGAACCCTAGCGGGAACCTTTTTAAAGGGTAATAATATCTGAAAAACCAGTTTGGTCTATTGTGCTTGTTGCTACCAGATTTGTCATTATTTCTAGGCCCTTTTAAAGAGACCTAGGAAAAAATTTAAGATGAAATATATCATGAGTTGAAACTGACTCCTCCGATTTAAATTTAGGATAATACTTCCTTTAACGTATAAAGAGTACTGAGTCCTTGCTCCCATCTGTTTAATCTTTTTCTTAAAGCTCTTACTTTAGAAATTTCTAGCAGTTCCTGAAGAATGTCCATATACTCCACAGATCCCACCTGGACATTTTTTGTGCTTGTCCCCTGCCTGTACTTTCAAGCATTGTTGCTCCCTCATCCTTCTAGGTCACTCTGAAGTTCTCAGAACATTAGACTTCTTGTTCTTAGTGCTGACTTATTTCAAGAATATACACAGTCGTTTCTCTTAACTCGTTCAAATCCGTTTTGGGCCATAGTGAAGTATTTAAATAAAGTTCTACTGAGTACCCAATCGTAGCAGAAGTACAAGGATCTAAGTGATTCACAGTCTCGATCTGAGGATCACTGCCTACTTTCTGCAGGGACCAGTCCACTCAGCAGATCCAGTTTCCTTTGCATGGAATCCAAGGACTTCCACTTTTCTGTTGTCGCGGGAAAAGTGTTCTGTTCTTTACCTATCCCAGGGCCCACCCTCTTGCCCCGGCTTGGTTAACATTACAAATGTTTGGGAGTAACTCTTAATCTGTAGCCACAGGATATAATCTGCTTCTTCACACAGTCCAGTCACAGCAGTCATCAGTGATGTCAAAACAGAGGGTAACATTTTCATCATGACGAACAGTGGTGTTTAGGTACTGGCCGTGGCCTCTGTGATTACCACCTCTTCTGTCTCTGCCCACGCCTGTGCTTCAGTCACCTGATCCTGTAGTGCTTTGTGTTCTCTTTCACCTCCTGTGTCTTTGCTGTTGCTCTTTCCTTCATCTAAAATTCTGTACTTCCTGGTACTCTGTGTAGTTCTTTTATAATACATTGCATAATTTATTATAACTTTACATATTCTTCTCTGTGTTTCCTATTAAGGGAAATCATGAATAGAAAGATTTAGTTGTGTTAATTTCTATATTTCTGGTTCCTGGTATAAAGAACTAAGAAATTGTAGAAGTTTGTCTGTCTCCTTTTTCACTTTTAAAAGAGTTTTCAGTTTGAAAAGGAAGCATTATTTGTAGGGTTACCTATCTGATAAGGTATTAGTATCTGGAGTATATAGAGAACTCCTAAAACTCAACGATAAAAACCAAACAACTTGATCCAAAAATGAATAAAGGACTTGAATAGACAGTTCTCGAAAGAAGTTATACAAATGGCCAACGAGCACATGGAAAGGTGCTCAGCATTAATGATTGTTAGGGAAATGCATATCAAAACCACAGTGAGATACCATTTCACACCCATTAGGATGGCTGTAATTAAAAAAAAAGGAAGCATAAAATAACAAGTATATAGAATTAAATAAACCTTAGTACCTAAAAAATAATTGAGTTTAGAATTAACTACGTTATTTTAAATGAAATAATCATACCAGATATTTGAAAATTGTATTTTGCATGTATAAAACTGTTTCCTTTATGAAGTATGTCATTCCTGTTAGTATTAAAGTCTGCTATAATGTTTACAGTGTGATTCTGTTTTCAAATATCTGTTTATACACGTTTTTAGGAATGCATCACATACATAAGCTGTATCTATATGAAAAATGATTATAATAGAATTATATTGAAACTTGTCCCATAGTGCACGTTTAGCAAACATTACTATTTGTTTAAATAAACTTGTGAAATTGAAGAAAACATTGTATGCAAAGCTTAATTTAAAACGGAAACAGATCTTATCGTCATTCTTAAGTAGATAATATAGCCTGACTAGCTTTAAAATGTATCAAGTTATTTATGCATATTTATGTGCATTTAATTTCCCCAAAGCTGGTTTTCAGAGGAGCTTTAGTAGCTTTGATACAAAACTACAATTTTACTTGGTACTCTCTTCATGTTACACTGGGATTTCTCTTTCTGAAGCCAAATTAATATAGTCAACACTCTTCTGTATTATTTTTCTGATCATTCTCTTCGAAAAGAAAAAGTCTGAATGGGATAATGTAAAACATGTCTTCTTGAAGGTATTAATGTTTATATACAGCATTTCCTTATAATAATCACAATATAATATTGTCAGTCTGTTGAGAAGATCAGATTTATTTTAATCTGAAAATCCAATGAAAGTTTAGTATTTTCTTGTATTGAGAAAGTCCTCACTTACCGTAATGGTTTAATTTATTCTTTAAAGCTGAAAAAAAAGTAGAGATCAGTTTTCAAGTTGATATTTTTTTTCCTCCACTTTTCCTGTTGTTGCACTACTCGTCTAAAATTCTGACTGATGAGAAGACAGGTCTAACCATGCATAGACTTTGGAGTGACATTAATCCATATTTTACACATACACATTGATTTTTATATTTTGACAGCCTCCATGGAAGAGATAAGAATCAACATTTTCTCTTTTTTTTTCTTTATAAGAAGTTATAATTAGGACAGGAATACATTTACAAAATGTCATACCATAAAAACAAATCATGATGGCTGAGTATTCAGTACCAGAGCCTCTTTGTGGATTAGGAAGATTTTTTTGTGCTATTGTGATTTTTTTTTTCCTTAGTAGGAAATTAATTGTGTAAACTAGTTTCCTAA